GCCCGGCCTCAGCAGCGGCAGGAAGGGGCTCAGTCGGGGGAGGCGGGGGCGGTGCCGTGGGGGCGGGCCCGGCCGTCCCGGCGCTAAGTTGTAGGGCCCGGCTCCTCCCGACCTGATTTCCTTTCCCCACGGCTCCTCGCACCCAGCTCGGCGCTGCCGGCCCCGGAGCCGCCGAACCCGCACCTCCTGGGTGAAGAGGACACGCCTGCCCTCGTCGAGAAAACTTTTCCTGCCGCCTCGGTGGGGGCGACGGTGGTAGGAAGTCCGGACAGCGACCTCTTCTCTGCCGGCCCCGCGCGCCCTGCCGGGTGCTGGCGCTGAGCTCGAGATTAAGTTTGAGCAGGCCCCTTCCGGGCTGCAGGCGGGTCCCGCCTCAGGAGGGACGCCCGGCCACAGGGTGGGCGGCGGGCCAGGGCGAAGGCCAAGGGCGCGTGGGGGCGCCGGAGACAAGGTGCGGAGCGCGGCCCGGACCCGCATTCGCAGCCGAGGGCTCGGAGAGCACTAGCGCCGGATCAGGGAGCCTCCGGCGGCCACTTCCAGAAGTCCACAGGCTGCCTCCTCCTCCGGGTGAGGACAGTGTCCTGGCTCCGAGTCTATCGAGGAAAAATGAAGTTAAGCCGCCAGTTCACCGTGTTTGGCAGCGCGATCTTCTGTGTAGTGATTTTCTCGCTCTACCTGATGCTGGACCGGGGTCACTTAGACTACCCCAAAAACCCGCACCGCGAGGGCTCCTTTCCCCAGGTAAGCACCAGGAAAGCAGTGGCGCGGGGCTCCGAGAGGGCAGGCATGGGGGCCCGTAGTTACCCGCTGCTCCGCTACCTTTGCCCCCCTTCGAGATTCCGCGCCGGGGCAGGAGAGGCCGAGCTGGAGGAGGCTTGGATCCTCTTCCAGCCCGGGCTCTGCAGCGTTGGGACCGCGGTGACAGCGATCCGGGAGCTGCCTCCCCGCCGGGCGCGCAGAGTTAACAAAGTACCAGGCAGCATGCGGTAGCCGGATCGCGCTCAGGGGAAGTGGCCGGGTTCCCGACGCTCGCACTCGGGCCTTTTGAGGTGATCACCTGCTGGCAGTGAACCTGCGCGGTACGGGGCGCTCTCTCACCGGCGGGGCGCCCGCTGACAACTGTTAGGTAGCCTATTGGCCCGCACAGGGTTAAGCTGTCCAGACCCCCTGCGCGCACCCACTCCAGGAAATGGAGCTAGCAGACCCCTCTGGGTGGTGATGTTGTTTAACCCCACTATTTCTTGAGAAATAAAAGTTTATTTCGTGTTGCAGACGTCTTTCTCAGATATGAATCTGTAGGGTGGATTTTAGTGTCGTCATTCTTCAGCTATTACATCGGGTTTGTTTGGAGCCGACGTGGGAGCCTAGTGGGGAAGCGCATGTTATACTCAGGCCGGAAGCTGTGGGGCGCTCAGTCCTGAGCCCAGCGGTCAGATTGTCAAACGAGTTAGGAAAACGACACGTCTTAAGTCTTCTATTTAAAGTTATCAAAAATAAGCAAACGGAGACAGTCGGTTCTATTTGGGAGGATACTGCGACGCATGTGCGATTTCAGTTTCAGGTTATTTGCCAATGACCTATACACTCCAGAAATTTTAGTAAAACGGGGTTTTGTGTACTATCCGCTGTGATGAATGAACCTGAAGAACTCAAAGCCCTGACAGGCTGATCTATCAACTACTTGGTTCAGGGGTAGAGAAATAAAGGACGTAACAAGTTGGAGATTATTATTTTTTCTTTTGTGTGACAATGTAAATGGCCAGAGAATATTCTTGCCTTTTGTTCTTGTCATATGTTAGGACAAAAGGCTTGAGTTTCATGAAATTAGACTACTAATTTTACCTAAGTTATGAAAGTCAAAAAAGACTCCTTTGTGTATGGTATCATCAACACAGAGCACTTAAAAACACGTTGCAGATGAGAGGTATTAAAAATCTGGTTGTAAATAGTTTTATCAAAAAATTTAAAAGCTTTTGCTTTTAGGTAGTATTATAGAGAAAATATAGTGAGGTAAACAGTATTAGATATCTTTAAATCTTGAGTTTAGGGTCTGTCCAGTACTTGTTGATTGGATAAAACAGTTTAAAAAAAAAGGCATAAACCCTATGAAGCTAGAGCAAAAGGAGGAGTTTTAATCCTTGTTTAATATGTTGTATAATTTTAGGGCTGAACTTACTGTGCTTTTTCTTCTCCCTAGTAAATCCATTTTTAGAATTTTCTTCATTACAGGAAAAAATCCTGAAAACTGATAGATTTTACTTAAAGTGTTATCTTGAGTAATGTCCTTTGGCTTTGGCTTGATGATCACTTGGAAATGATTTATGCAAACATCTGGGGCTGGGGTTCTCTGGCAACCTTGACATTTTACTATTTCTAAAGCAGTGAGTGACTCATTCGGTTACTGTGAAGTCTTAGGCAAAGTTAATTCCAATAATTTAATATCCACCCTAGTCCTCATCGAGGGGCTAAAGTTCTGCTTAAAACATAAAGCATTTAATGGAAAGTAACTGGTTGCTGAAAGAGAAGGCTCTTCATGTATTCTGTTTTGTGTGCAAGGAGAGAGGGTTAGGAAGTTGGAACTTTTTATACCTAAGTTTACCCTTCTGAGATTTTCAGGACTGGATTTTTGGTTCAAGAAGGCACTATGATTTAGTTTTGGAGAGCTACTGAATCCCCAGGAAGGTGGACTGGAAAAATGCTTTGTAAACCTCACTCTTCTATGTCTAGTATCAGCCTATGTGTCTTAGCCTTACATGATAAATTTCATTCACATAACCATGACCCAGTGGGTGAGGAAACTTAGGTACAGAGAAGTTAATTTGCCCAAAGTTACACTGCTAAAAGCTGAAATTTGAACAGGCAGCCTTTGGAATGTAGGCTCTCAGCTGCTATGCTGTACTGTCCCTTAGTAATTCTTTGCTTCCTGTTTAGGCCCCAACTTGCTTGTGGAAGGATCTGATGTAGAAGACAGAGCATGTTGCTCTGTGGCTCCTTAGCTTATGACTTTTTTTTTTTTTAAGGAACTTTTATTATGAAGCAGTAATGAATGTGCCCCCTTTTTTAAAAAAAAAATTAAATGTTTGATTTTAAGATAATTGCAGGTTCACATGCAAGTATAAGAAATAATACAAAGAGATCACATGAATCCTTTACAGTTTTCCCCAGTGGTGACATCTTGCAAGACTAGTACAGTATCACATCTTGGATACTGGTATCTTGTTACAGCCAAGATAGAGAACATTTCTATCACCACAAGGACCCCTTCCATTGCCTTTTATGGCCATACCCACTTCCCTCCTGTTTCCACCCACCTGTAACCCCTGGCAACTACTCATCTGTTCTCACTTTCTATAATTTTGTCATTTCAAGAATGAGAAATAAAATCATATTGTGTGCAACTTTTGGGGATTGGCTTTTTTCAGTCAATTTAAATCTGGAGATTCATCCAAGTTGTTACATATTTGTTCCTTATTATTTTTTGTTGTTCTTATCGTTTCATTTTTCTTTTGTTCCTTATTATTATTGAGTAGTATTCCATAGAGCATAGTTCGTTGAACCATTCACATATTGAAGGGAACATCTGGGTTGTTTCCAATTTGGGGCAGTTTATTATGAATAAAGCTGCTGTGAACATTATAAACATTTGTGTACAGGTTGTTGTGTGAACAAAAGACCTCATTTCTCTGTGGAAAATGCCCAGGAGTACAGTTGCTGGGTCATATGGTACAGGCGTACCTCAGAGATATTGTAGGTTTAGTTCCAGACCACTGAATGTGCTCCATTTTATGAAACATTTAATGCTTGAGATTTATACCTCCTCCAGAATGTCTTCTAGTTCACTTTAGAGCTAGATATTATAATGAAAACTATTATGCAGCATAGCATCCCAGCATTTGAGTTGATTTTTGTTTCTTTCACTGCTTCTAACTCCTATGTAAACCTTACTTTGATGAGAACACCAAACATAGCAAAACTAGGTTGTACTATATTATATTTCTTTGATGAATTTGGGTACTGAATTCCTTGGGTTTAATAGAGCCAAGCTAGTCAGTCACTATAAATCATTTTTAGTGTCTAGTAGAATGATTTCTCTAGGAAGGGACTGACTTCCTCTGAATTGTCCATTTTAGTTTCTTCCAGTTAACATGGAACCTTCAGTAAGGTATATATTTGGTCCATCTTGTAAGCAAGATCTGTTTTAAAACTGTCCTTGATTGAGAGCAATCTATTTGCTGTTGTTCTATCTTTCGTTATTTTTCCCTCCTCCCACAAGTCTATGTTTTCCATCATTTGGCCAGACTCTAGGGTGGAAGTGGGCGGAACTGCAGGTGCTCCAGTTTCTCCCACCCTGGAGCAGCTGCCTGTCTCTGAGATAGTCTTTGGAAATCTCCTGTGCTTCTGGGAGGAATTCCTTGGAGGCCTGGAGGCAACAGGTGGCCTTGTCTGTTTTAGCTTGTGTATATATTTCAGGGTTAATAAATCTCAGCTAGAAAAATTAATAAAAATTCCACTCTGAATGAGAGTCTGGCCAGGGCCTAACGCCCTGAAGATGCTTTGAGGTAATGTCAGAATTCGAGCAGATGGAAAGGAGAAACATGGTTAAGGTCTTCCTGAAATTCTTCATCACTTCCTGCAAGCAGATTTCACAAGTTGCTTACTATCTACATTGTGTATAACAGGATGTCTTATTAGTGTCTTATATTTGGATCTGGAGAATTAATGAGTCAGGTTTTGTATAACAAATGATTGATCTTTAGTATAGCGTATGATCATAGGGATTAATATTAAGTCTTGAAAGTTCAGAGGTTGAGACTGATGGAAAATGTGAGAGTAAAGTTTAGATTTTTCTCTTTGTGCCCAGATGACACGTATCAAGTGAGAAAGTGTGAATGTCTCTAAGTATTTGATTGAAAGACATGGGTAGGTGGGAAGTTCTATGCCTTTTTTTAACTTTTAATGTGAAAATATAATACATGTATAAAAACAAGTTTAAACACTTTACCTCTCTAGTGCTTTTTCAGGAGTTCAGCATAGTATTTATTTAACAAAAGTTGACCTCAATCCCCTAGTTCTTTTTCCTACTTTCAGAAATCTGTGAATCTTAGTTTATGAATGATAAATAGAAAAGTAT